CCCCACAGCTCCCCACAGGCCCCCAGCCCGTGCTCCCGGTGCCGCAGCTCTGCGCCCGCTCCTGCCGCTCCCAGCTCAGAGAAACCCCCTGAAATCCTCACCTCCTTGTTTTGCTGTCCTGGAAACAGGTGATGTAAAGGATCTGGATCAGCTGGCAAATTTTGAGGATAAGACAGTTCTGTAAAATATCCCAGTCCTCAGTATTTTTCTTTTCCTCTTCTTTGCCATCATCATTTTTTTTCCCCATAGATTCCTCCTGCTTCTTCTTTCCTTAACCATAATCCTGCACACTCCCCTTCAGCCAAAACCCTTCCCAGCACACCAACATCATCCTGCAGCTCCCGGTTGTCTAAATCCCTTCTCAACTTCCCTCATTGCCCCTGTGGGTGTTCATGTCCTTAATTACCTCTGGGAGAATGTGCAAACGACCTCAACATGCTCACCTTTTGCATATAAATACAATATTCATGGCACTGTTAAGTCTTTGTTTTTCTTCTCAAAATTCAGAAATTTAGCAGGAGCTTGACTGAGTAGCAGTTCCTGTCAATTAATAACATTTTCTGAAACTGATGGTTTCTTCTGTCACTTCTGTCTACAAGTCCTTGGTCCTATCTCCAAGCAGGTTCACACCATGTTTGTAAAGTCACTTTCATCTCATTCCTTTCAACACGATGGGAAAGACAGGGAGAATCCGTAAAAACTCACCCAGACTGAGAGAGGGGGCTGGGTCACCCCCAAACTGAGCCGGAGGGAAGATGGGGTATGGGAGGATGGTGGCAAAGGGGTGGGAAAGGAGGATAAGGGGAGGGGGGATAGTAGGAAAGGGGTTCCTGGGAGGGGTTGTCCCTTTGTTTCCCCATCACTTGATCCCTGGAGGGATTCCCCGGAGCTCTGTGAAGGTATGGATCTGCACTCGGGGGGTGGTCCCCAAATCACCTGGAGTGGTTCCCCTCCACTCAGCAGCTGGTGCTGTGGCTATGGGGCAGACAAGTGTGGGAAAGGGGCATCCAGGGTAGGCATAGAGGAGAAGAGGAAGAGGGAGAGAGGAGAAGGAGGAACAGGAATCAGAGCAGAAGAAGCATGAGGTTCCCTCCCAGAAGTTACCAGGGAGGTGAAGCTTGCCCAAATATATCAGGGAGTCCTGTAGTGATTCTTCTGAGAGGAGTGTTTGGAGTTTGCAGATTCCAGAATGGAGACACAAATATCTTTGTGGTTACTGGGAGGGCTTGGTTTCCTGGGGATCTTGCAGGATCCCAAAGCTGAGTTGCAGATCCCCCTTTGGGGGTCCATGTGATGTTCACGAGGTACTGGCAGTGGGAGGACATCAGTCTTGGGTACCCCCTGGGTGAGTGGTGGAGGGGTAATGCAAAACACCTGGGGTGGGAAAAGTGGAGAGGGATGATCCCAGAGCTGGGTGGGACCCAGCAGCCTGAAGGAGGGAGGAGAAGATCCTGGAGTGTGGGGACCCCTGGGATCCCTGGAACCCCAGAAACCCCAGAGCAGAGAGTCAGAAGAGAAGGGATCACTGGGACCCTCAAAACCCCTTGGATCATCTGTAGGCAAGACCCCAGAGAGGGGGAATCCCAGGAGCCACGGGACCCCCATCAGCCTAGAGAAGGAAAATCAGCAAACCCCAGAGCAGAGAGACAAGAGAGGTGGATCTCCTCCAAGATTATTTTGGAACCTGGTGCTTCACAGATTTTTTTGGACACAAACCCCCTGGAGACTTCCAGAGATGGACCTCTGCAGGAAGAACCCCCAGGCCAAGGTACTCACACCTTGTTTTTTCCCCCAAACCAGGATTTGTCATTACCAAGTTGTGGCCAGATGGAGGAGGAGGAAAAGCCCCGGGCATCCCACACAAGGAGGAGCTGCAAACCAAGCACAGGAAGCTGCATGGAGGAAAGACCCACCCTGTGCCAGGATGGTGACCAGAGATCCAGCCAGAGCTCAGAGCTGGGGGAGAAGTCTCAGGCTGAGGAGAAGCCCCACAAGTGCTTGGAATGTGGAAAGGGCTTCAGGTACAGCTCCCATCTCAGGGAACACCAGGTGATCCACACTGGGGAAAAGCCCTACGAGTGTGGGGAATGTGGGAAAGGCTTCAGCCGGAGCTCCAACCTCATCAGTCACAGCAAGATCCACACTGGGGAAATGCCCTACACCTGCTTGGAATGTGGGAAGAGCTTCAGGCGGAACTCCAGTCTGAGGGAACACCAGATGCTCCACACAGGCGAGAGGCCCTACGAGTGTCCCCAGTGTGGGAAGAGGTTTCGGAGGTCCTCCCGTCTCCTCCTGCATCAGCGGATTCACAGAGAGGAGAGGCCCTTCTGCTGCCCCAACTGTGGGAAGGGCTTCAAGCAAAACTCCGCTGTCCTCCTGAACTGGTGCCTCCACAATGGGGAGAGGCCCTATGAGTGTCCCAAGTGCAGGAAGAGCTTCGTTCGCTGCTCCAGCTCCATCCCCCATGGGAGGATCAGTGTTGGATGATCCCCAGTGACCCCTATTGGGCAGAGCCCTGGTGATCCCTGTTCTGGGTGATCCATGTTGAGTGGGGGGAAAGCGTTGAAGAGATTTCTTTCCCTTCTCCTTGTGCTGCTGTGATTTGTTTGCTAATAAATTCACTCCCTGTGCCCAAGCTGAGTCTGTTTCGCCTGTGCCAGCGCTCAGGGCTGGATGTCTACCAGTCCTTTCAACTTCTGGGCCTTTCTTGTATTTCCTGTCCCTGTGCAGTTGCAGAGGGCAGGGACAGAGACGTTTTGGTGGCTCTTGGCATCCATGAAGGAGCAACCTAGCCCCAGAGTTCCAAGGGGCTTGTGGGGCTCCCCCATTTGCGGGACATCCCCACTGGAGGAGGGTGTCCCCGCTTTGCTGCTGCCCCAGCCCTCAGGCTGCACTCAGGCAAGCAGAGAACGCCCTCACCTGGGGCCTCATTTTTGGGCAGATCTGAACGCCTGGACATCTGGAACCCCATTTTTTGGGTTTACACACGACCTTGTTTTGGTAGTGGGGTGGGTTTGGGGAGAAGATTGAAAAGTTTTCTCTGTGTCCACCAGAGCCAATCCCTGGTGGCACCAAAGATGGAGGTGCTGGATGCAGAGATTTCCCCCCCCCCCAGCCCCTGGAGGAGCCCCTGCTGGAGCAGGGGGATGCCTGAGATGAGGCTGTGACCCCATGGTCACAGGAGCTGCCTGTCCTGGCAGGACTGACCCTGTGGCAGAGTGACCCCCAAGATTGCAGCAGTGTGAGGGGGCTGCTACCTGTGGGATGGACTCACATCAGAGCCGGGCACTGCTGGAGATTTGTGTGTCTCTGGGAGTTTTTGTCCCATTTATCACCCGGAAACATGCTGGGAACAGAAGGGGGTGACACACATGGGTGACTGAGGTCACTAAGGGGTGACTGCTGGCTCTGGCACAGCCCTGAAATCATTTGGGAGAGGGCAGAGGCAAAGGGCTCGGCCACTTTGCAGCGTCGGGCGCTTCGCTCCTGGACTTTCCTGCCCGTGCCCACTGCTCCCGGGGCACAGAGAAGGACTCGGTCATGTCCTCTCAAAACCTCCCTGGGAATCACCCCAGAGCCCTCAGTCCTCCTTGTGCCCATCCCTCGGGGCCTCTTGTCCCTCTCAGTGGCTCCCAGGGCGCACCCAGTCCATCTCAGCCGTGCGTGGAGCTGCCTCCCATCAGCCAATCAGAGCACAGTCCTCTGATGACTCATCAGTTGCCAGGCAGCGCCTGAACTGTTGTGGTGTGCGGCTTTTACGGATAGGGAGACTTCCAGAGTTGGACCTGGGTAGGAGGCCCCAGCCCAAGGCACTCACCACTTGTTTTTCCCTTAAAACAGGATTTGCCATTCTCAAGCTGTGGCCAGATGGAGGAGGAGGAAAAGCCCTGGAGATCCCACACAAGGAGGGGCTCCAAACCCAGTCCTGAGAGCTGCAAGGATGAAAGACATCACTACGTCAGGACGGCAGCTGGAGATCCAGTTGGAGTTCAGAGCTGGGGGAGAAGTCTCAGGCCTGGTAGAAGCTCAAGTGCTTGGAATGTGGGAAGAGCTTCAGTTACAGCTCCAACCTGATCTGGCACCAGAGAATCCACACTGGGGAAAAGCCCTGCAAGTGTGGGCAATGTGGGAAGAGCTTCAGGTGGAGCTATGAGTGTCCCAAATGAGGGAAGAAATTTCAGATCAGCTTCTCTCTTTGTACATCAGCAGATTCACACAGAGGAGGGGCCCTTCAACTGCAGGAAGGGCTTCAAGTGAAACGCCCACCTTGTCAGGCACTGGTGCATCCACACAGGGGAGAGGCCCTAGGAGTGTCCCAAGTGTGGGAAGAGCTACTCACAGAAGTCTCACTTGGCCAAACATCAATGGAGGCACCAGTAAGGGAAGCCCTGCGAGTACCCCAAGTGCGGGAAAAGCTTTGTGTGCTGCTCCAGCTCCATCCCCCATGGGAGGATCGGCGTTGGATGATCCCCAGTGACCCCTGTTGGGCAGAGCCCTGGTGATCCGTGTTGGGAAGACACCTGACTCATGGTCTTCTTGTCTTCTTGGCTCCCCATGGGCACCAAGATGAACACAGGGGCAGGAGGATTCCTGCTGCTATTCCTGTTCCTGCTCCTCCTCTTCCTCCCACTCCTCCTCCTCCGGCTCCTCCTGCTCATCCAATTTTCGAATCCCACCTCCTTCTACTCTTCTTTCCAGCCCTTCTCCTGCTCCTTCCTCTGCCCCCCTCCTCCTCCTCCATCCCTTCTCCTGTTTCCTCCGGGTCTGGCCCCCACCCTTGCCCCCACCTTCTCCCAATTCCTATGCATCCCGTGGGAGGAACTAGTTTGAAGCCAGGGCAGTTCTGGCCAAGGCGGTGCTGGGCTCTTGACCCAGCGTGGGTGCCCGCCACGCGCCCCCTGCCCAAATTTCCCATACGGCTTGAGGGTCCCGGCACCTTTTGGGGTTCGCTGGGTGCTGTGTTGGGGTTCAGGTGCCTCGTGAGGCCACTCCCAGAGTGAGGTGACATGGGGGTCCACATTCCCGATCCATCCCATGCCCCATTCGGTCTCCCCAATCCCAAATCCCCCACAGGATCCCCCCCAAGTCTTTCCCCACTGCCCCCCAATAAACGGGACAGGGGCGAACTGGGAAGCTGTATTGGGAACACTGGGAGGGCCAGGCAGGAACAGAGTGACAGCGGGGCTGGGGGGACACACGATGCCCCCAAAATCAGCGCAAGGTCGGAGCGGGGGGTCCCGGCCAGGCCTGAGGCCACAGGGAGGGGCTGCAGCAGCAGGCTGAGGAGCTCTGTGGGCAGAGAAAATGGGGTGACACCAGGCTGGGGAGCCCTGGGAGAGCACACATGTTGTAGTTGATAGCTTGAAATGTATCTTTTCCCATCTTTTAGTTGTAATTTCCCACCCCCGCCCCCAGCTTCTTTCTCCTAATTGTTTACCTGGTGTCAAGTTACCACGGTTACTGAAGTTTCTCTCCTCATCCCCACGGCAGAGGGGTCGAATAAAGAGAGGACCCTGCTGGCATTTCCAGCTGCTTGAAGTTTCTTTAGCCCAGGAGACCCTTCTTTCCGACATGGAAGTTTGTAACTTTGTTTTTCCTGTCCCAGAATGCCTCTGAGCTATGGAAGCTGGGAGGGCATGCTTCCCTTCCCTTTCTTTCCCCTTGCCAGGAAACCAAGCCCCCCCTCTCTCCCCCTCTGTGCAGAATACTCCTACACCTTTGTGGGCATTTGAAGAAGTTCGTGTCTGTTATTTCTTATCTTGGTGTGTGTAACCTTGATTTGTAGAAAGTTTTTAAGATGTACTAACTGAGAAAAATAATTGGTTCTTTCTCTGATGTTCCCTCCAAGAAACCCTGTTAAAAGAGACCCCCCAGACCCCAAATCCTTGGTCTCTCATCCTTTGGATTCCCCTTCACAGAAATAAACTGTGGAATGCAAACCAAAGAGAGAGTCCCCCCCCTGATTTCTTTACTCGCTCTATAGATTTGAATTCTTGAAGAAAATCAGTGAACCCCACAAACATATGCTGGCTCAAAACTTGAGTGAAGAGAAACCTCATCACTGAGCTAGCTGGGCCACACTCGAGAAGATCGAGTCACACACACACTCCGGGGAAGGGAGGACACAAGCCCTGGACCCCTTCTCCTTTCTTGCACAGGTAGAAGCCGAGCCCAGCACCAGGAAGATGAAGCCCCCAGTCCCCATCAGCATCTTGCTGCAGGTGGCATCTGATAACATCTCTGGGGGGTCTTCAGGGGTCAGGATCCCCAAAAATCTCTCACAGACACCCCAAGCCCCTCCAAGCACCCTCCCAGTCACCTCCAGCTCATCCAGGACCTGAAAACCTCCTCCCAGTCCCTTCCCAGTCTCCCCATGACCCACTAAAGCCTCTTGAATCTCTTTCAGGATTCCACAGCCCCCTCCCAGTTGCCCCCCACTGCCCCAAGACCCCCAAACCCTCTCCCAGTCCTTTCCCAGCCCCACCAGGACTCACCAAGATCCCACTCAGTCTCTTTCCAGCACAACCAACCTCATTCCAGCTCTCACTTTGATATATGGAAAGAAAACTCTATAACCCACAGAGTAAGTTATAAGACTAGGTATGTATTTATTCAGCGCTGAGGTACATGAGCAATAGCTCCTCCAAAAACATGCACACCCTGGAGACTTGCCCCTCTCTTTTTATTCTCTACAAACCAGGATTACACAGTACACCTAATACATATTAATTTCCTAACCCTGCCTGTCCCCACTTCATATTAAAATTAGCTCCACACCTCTTTGCGGCTGCGCACTGCTACTTGTTGGTTACTGGGGGTCGTCTCGGGGTCTTTGGGATGAAGTCAGTGATCTTCCTCTCAGTTGAACTTTTCACCTTGTCTCCTTGCACATGCTCCTTTTAGTCTTTTGACCATCTTTTGGACTTTGATACCATTTCTCCTGGCTTAGGGGTCCAGAAAATTCCCTTATCCTGTAGTGCCTTTTTCTTTGCATCCTGTTTGCACATTCTAGCTCCTTATCTTATGTTGTAGTATCGCTCTCTTCCTGCTCTTGTGGGAGCAGTATTTCATATGGTTTTGGGGGCCCTCTTCTTTTAGTCGAATCATTTATTTATACTTGATTCCTAATTCTTAATTTCTCTGTTTCAGTGGGAGAATCATCCCTCTACCCACTCCAACATGTGCTAGCATTGTCTATGTTATATAGGGTGTTTTAGACCAGTGGCATTTATTTCCTACCACAAGATCAGTGAAATCAGTTGGGAATCCAAGTATGTGATGATTTAATTAGAGAAAAGCCAAAAATTGATGCAGCCCTGGCTTCTGAGAGCCAAAAAATGGGGAAAAGATGAACAGCCACCAGAACAAATCCTGCAACACCATGGACAGGCCATGGGCACCCTAACAAATTCATATCAGGAGCCAGAGAATCCATTTATCATTTCACTGGCATAATTAGATTACAGGATGTCCTCAAAATAACACTCAACCAGACACCTCCAGCTCCTGACCTTCTTCCTGACCAATCCACTCAGATGAGGAATGCAACATTTCACAATGGGATGGGATCAGATTATCTTTTAGCAGAAAAAGGAGGCAGTTTGTGGAAACTTAAATGACTCAAACTGCTGTTGGCAAAGATATGAGAACAGAAAAGTGGTAAAATAGATAACAAAGGAAATAAGAAAGCAGCTCATGTATCAGTCCAAACATGGAAAGCATGGGAATGTGACACATTTCCATGTTTCTGTTAGAGACACATATTACTTTATTGGCTTTTTGCAAATATTAAAATAAATCTTATATGTATAATTTTGGAAAACTTTGCTGTATTAATATAATTTTAATTTCTCCTACTGATGAAACTTAAAAATAGTGGTGTAATACAGATATATTTTTTAAGCTGTAGTATACAATTAAAATAAAGACTGTATTTGTTAATATAACCCAGAAAATGAAAAGATAATCAGAACCCCCTCTCCACATTCCTAAATTATCTTATCCAGATGAAGAAAGCAGTGACAAGAGCTCCAAGGGAAAAATTTATTGCATCCCTGTTATCAGAGAGTGTAAGACTCAACAGAGCCAAGAAGATTATCTGCTGGGGAGGGGGAAGTTGAAACTGAACAAAAGAACATCTAAAACTTAAGAGAAATGTTTGAATCTTGCATAAGAATCTAAGAATATGCAAGAGACTAGGGTTTTAAAGGGACAATCCTTTGTTAGTAAGGTGTGCTGTTCCTTAAATGCAGAAACACTGGGGCACATTTGTTCATTTTGCATTGTTTCTGTCTCGTAATCTCCTTTTTCTAAAACTTTTTAAATTACACCAAAAAGGTGATTTTTCCACCTTTTTGGCGAGGTTTTCACCGTTCCCTGGCAGACCATGGGTTAAACAAATGCTGTTTCTCCTCTCATGTGCTACAGCAACTCTCATCTTTTTACCATGCACCACACCTTGCTGAGTGCAGCTCATTCAGCAGCTGAGCAAGGGGATGCAGGTGGCAGCCAGGCCTCCTGAGCCACAAACAGCTACAAAAGGACAGAGAATGAGGGCACTGAGAGCAATCCCAAAACCAAAGAAGACCCAGCAAGAAAAGAGATTGAATCAATGGTAATTAAAGTTTGCAAAGACAATCACAGGGAAAATTAGAAGAAGATCGATTGAACAGAATAAGATTAGTATGTCCTTACAAACAAATGCTGTGAATCTACTTGGAGATAGGGCCGGGACTTGTACATAAGAAAGCAGTGAGAGAAACCATCAGTTTCAGAAAATGTCACTAATTGACAAGGACTGCTGCTCAGACAAAGTCCTGCTAAATTCATGAACTTCCAGAAGAATCAAGACAGAGCCAGGAATATCGGATGTTATACAAAAAGGACATGCAGCAGGCGGATCGGGAAGGCTGAACCTTCCAAGCACCTCGGCCAGTGTTGGGCAAAGGGACAGGGACATGCGGCCGGGAAAATCAGGACAAAAACGAGGCCGCGTCCTCCAAGAACTGGAGAGAGCGCACGGCAAATGCCCCATGGCCTCTCCCTTTGGGCAGCAATAAAGTCACTTGCACACCACTCCTCTGGCTCCTTGGGCCACACAAACCTCTGGCGCCGGGAATTTTCCCGCCCAGCCCCGGGCACAGCGCAGCC